GGGGGGGTCGCAGAAAAGTTCGGAGACAGAATACCAGAGACTAACATGTTCTAAAAGAACGCAATATTCGAGTCAGTTAAATCACACAGGGTATTACTATTATAGTATCGTAGGTGACAAATTACTCCTTAATTTTGGCGCGAAATTTCAGCGTTAATTTTTAATTTCACCTGTGAAAATACAAAATTGCCATGGTAACATCTTTTGTATCTCGATCAGAGCCAAGATGGCGTCGAGATTCAAGACGGTAACCCTTGAAGAAGTTACAAAATTAAAAGAAGCGGCCAAAAATTTAAATACGCGAAAGAGCACAATTAACTGGGTGCGAGTTTTTGAGAAGTGGGGTGACAAAAATAGCCTTGAGTAAACCTGGAGACGATTCTTCCCGAGCAGTTGGATTAAGTACTCGAGCGATTTTACGCCTCCGTGTGTAAACAAGACGTAATTTGTCACCCACGATATTAAAAGGTAATCAAATGGTTTTCTCGTGAAATTAGGAAATAATTTCACTTGCGTTTTGTCAAAATTCTGATAATTTCCCTCGCCTAAAGGCTCGGGAAATTATCAGAATTTTGACAAAACGCGTGTGAAATTATTTCCTAATTTCACTCGTCGCCATTTGATTACACATACTAATTTTTTACTGGGCTGTGGCCACTTCAACTTCCCAAGAAGCAAATGCACCTTGCGTGCGAGTCATTGTAAGATATCAGAGAAATTAGTTTCCATGGTGATTAACAAGACAAGGCTTGGATGCTAAAGTTATTGTGGCCTGGCCTGGTCCTGAGATTGAGGCGCGGCGAAACTTTGTTTTTTGGGGATAGTGCAACCTAAGAAGCGATTTTGATTTAAACCATAGTTCCTCGCTAAAATTGCACGAAGTAACTTTATATGGACAACGTAAAAAAACAATTTTGGAATTGCACAAACTTTATTTCTTTTTTAAAAATTATATTTTAATAAACTTAACCAAAATGACATAGGTTTGATTACTCCTAATTTTGCGATTTTGGAAAGTTGATAATTAGAAAACTGACATGATAAACTGGTAAGAAGTAAACACAATCTTAAACGTTCATCGATAGTTCGACGCGTCTTCTTAATAGGTCACATTTCCACCAAATCACTTTAAACTAAAACCAAGGCAATCAACTCAGCCAATCGCGATTGGTGTAAGTTTCGCAACTAATTGATAGAGGGAGACTGGAGCTAAACTGGCCATCACAAGGAGAATGCAAAACTGAGGCAGCCACAGATTACCTTTCACCGCGCCCCCCTCCCCCGAGTAACTAGCATCTTATTTCTTCTAACAATATCCGCCCTGGATCAAACAAAGGCCGGAGCCGGGTTGTTCAAAGCTGGGTTAAAATAACCCAGGGTTAGCGTGAAATTTGATTTCAGATCTGAAACCTTTAAAAGAAAATTCAGTATAACTATTTCTGTCTACAATTTAATGATTGGATGCTCTAAAAAGAATATGGGAAATTATCCCAAAAGGGTTCTTGAGTAGAGAAACAAGAAACCGGGTTTAGAATTTAACCCTGGGATTAGTGCTAATCGGCTTTCCAACAACTGGACCAACAACTGAACTGCAGGAGAATAAAGAAAAATGAACACCAAATAAGGAGGGTCCTGCTTGTCAAACAAACTCTATGTCAGCGCCTTCGGAAATAAAGGAAACAGAAAATAGAATCCGCATACAGGGGTCAATTCAATAAAACTTTTACACTTGTAGCTTTTACAAGTGTAATTTAGACATGTAAAGTCCGACTTGTGATAACATCAATTCAATAAAAATATTTTCTGCACTGGAATTGACAAGTGTAGTTCAAGGTGTCTTACAAGTGTAACCTACAAATGTCTTTACACTTGTGTGGAAAAAGCGCGGCTCTGAACAACTACTGACTTATTCTCGAAAGGACATATTTTCAGAATTCAGCTTTCTAAACAATAAAACTGTTACTGGCACAGCTTGTGAGAGATATGAAATCTGTCCTGCTGCGACCGTTTTCTTAGACGGTAACCAAAAAGAAAAAGCAAGAGGCGTAGGAGAACATTCGTGTTCAAATGAATGGTGTGGGAATAGAGAGTGCTGTAGGTTTGCGAGATGTTCTGTGGGCAAACATTCAGCGGGCGACGTCAGTCAGCAAAAGAAGACGGGAAGTGGAGGCAGCGGCCAGCTTGCTAAGTTGGGCGAAACTGTTCTGGACATAGTTGGGCATGAGAGTGCCAATTTAGAGCCTGCTCAGGCCCCAGACACAGACATCGTCATTGCAGAAATCGCACAAGAATCCCTCACATGCTCTACAAATTCCTGTCTAATGATTTTCTGGGCAGTGTCTGTTATAAATGCAGAAGGGCCAGGTACTAGTGGGGCCGCTCCAACTGAAGAAATTCAAGGGATGCCGGAGTTGGATGAGACGATAGCAGTAATAACTGAGCCTAGTGAAGAGGACTCACGATCCTCTTCAATGGGGCACAGCCTAGGCCATTTGCGAATGCTTCCTCATCCCAAATTAAAAGTGAAGTACAAGCATAGAAGGCTCAAAAGGGATAAGAGCTGCCTCGGGAGAACCGGCTGTAGAAGAGCTTATGCGGTTGAAAAAAAGAAACTACGACCAGGGTGCCCAGAACTAGGTCTGGAAATATAAAAACTAAGGAAAGATTTACTTGCACGAGAAAACGATAAAGCAAAAGTTATCATATTGCAACTCATTAACGTGTTAACAAATACCCTGTAAGCGAATAATTGAACCGTTAAGGTGACCCAAATAAAATCGTAGATTTGTAATGTCAAACAGCCTGTCTTTCCTTAAAATTTCGAGGCTGACCAAAGATTTGATGTTCTCTAAGTTCTTCATCGCTGCAAGAAAGGATGATTTTACTCAATACTGAACAATTTTTATCATTGTATATAAATTTTAAAAGTGACTTATGACTTGTAATTTACAAGTCGAATTACCTCAGAAATACGAGTTCGAGTATTGTAAAACGTTTATTGAAATGGATATCTACTGAATTCTACAAGTGTAGTGCTACACCTGTAATTACAAGTCGGACACTTGAAACTTGGACTTGCAACGATGTTGATTAAACTCGTTTTCGCCTACACTTGTAAAAACAACGGTCCAACTTGTAAATTACAAGTGTAAAAGTTTTATTGAATTGACCCCAGATGTTAGGGCGTAAGGGTTGACTCACAAATACCAGTGATTGACATTTTTACACCAGCCGGCATTTACATCAACGTATTAATGAGCACCGTAATTCGGCCATCGGCAAACATCTAAAGAACGACCACGGCCTACAAACCATCGGCGACCTGACCAAGCATTTCAACGTACTTAAAAAGTGCACCGGGAAACTGGACTGTTTAGTTCATGAAATGCTTTTCATAAAGAAGATGAAGCCCTCCTTGAACAAACAATCAGATTCCATATGCGCGAAACTATTTATTTAATAGTTTACATTTATGAACTCAACACGCGCAATTATGTATTTAAATTTTTAAAAGAAATTTTTAACTTTTTACGTTTGTCACCTTCGTACGGTATAAAATAGCTATTTATTTTTATTCTCTTCTCACTTGAGAATGATGACATGGAGTCATCGAAACGTTGTGTGTTTTTCTCGCTAATATTTATTCTAAAATGTCTAACAAAATCTAATGTCATTCGATTAACATTTTAGATCAAAATTCGATCTAGTGTCGGAAGTCCAAGAAAATCAATATTAAAATAAGGGAAAATTACCGGCCAGATCATAAAAGGATCAAGGTATGGTGAATACGCACAGAACTCTTGGTGCCTTTAATTTGAACTCCAACCTGAATGCCCCTTGACGTAACTAAACGATAACTGCATCGCATCTTTCAGTGAAAAGAACAAGCTTTTTAAGTCCAGTTGCCAGTAATTCCCAGTATTCCTAGTTTGTGAACTCGAGTTTCAAATGCAGAGAAACAGAAAGCTATCCACGCATAAGCAATCCTTCGCGGTTGTGAAATTCGTGACACATCGAATATTGTCCAATCAAACGTGAGGTCCATTACCGTCGTAAAACTTGTGCATTGAAAAACATTTAAATCCTAATATCGTAAAAAAAATTGATTGTCCTGTGGGTTTGACACGTGCACAATAAAATTCAGCTAGCATTTCACGAAATGGGAATTTCTTAAACATATATCAATAAATCAACCGATTTCGTAGTTGTTAGCTGAACATTTTTTTTTTTTTAATATGAATACAATTTCAACGAGAGCCGTCTCTAATTTCGAAGTTTTAATTTTAAAAAGTGTGGAAAAACGCTGAAAGTGAGTACCAAACGTATTCGAGGGCAAACTCTGAACATGAACAATAAACGACTCCATAACTAATCTAAGACTCTATTCGGCTTCACCTCAACTGTTTTGTAAATAATTATTTAAGCTGAAACCTCGACTTTTAAAACAAGTCACCCTTATTACCTACGGGTACACGACTATTACAAAGGGATTGTGTTTGTTCAATTAATTCTTTGCATTACAAAAACTAAAAACTTGCTTCTAGAGATACGATTCTCAAATCGTTTTTGTTCATCAACGTATTTTGCCAGATTAATATTTACATATGTAGTCTGATAATCAAAATAAATAAATATGAAAAGTAACAAAGTATATTTTATAAATCATAGCCCGTCCAGAAGACTGGCTTTTGTAGTCCAAAGAATGGACACTCGCCGGTCTACATGTTCTGTGTCCGAATACTGCGGGGAAAGACATCGTAACGCTTCTATCGCCACCCAACTGGTTAAAGGAAGAACAGACGATCAGATAGATCATGTGACGGTTCATTGTGGATGTTCTGACCCACAAGGTAAGCTAACTTGTGGGCATACTGAAAACAAAAGAAAAGTAACACAAATCAGATGATCGGACCCCATCTCCGAGTTATTTCCTTTAGATGGAATATGAGAACTCTTACGGTACAATTGCAACAGGCAATAGTTAAAATAAATCGGTAAAGGAAAGAAAATGCTATAAGGGGCAGCTACTAATGATGTTTATTATGACCGTACGGCCCCACGCGCGCGATCTCATTGAAAATAATAACGAAAGTGTTCGGCTGGAAGGTTTGACGGAGTCACGACGCTTATACGGATCTTTCCCTTTTTCAAGAACGTGGATTGAATTATGGATTCAATCGGGCTTCTCGATGAATTATGGGTGTCTTGTTCTGACTTAAAGAATAAAAGTTTTTACAGCAGAACCATTCCCCTTTTTTGTGTGCAAGTCAGTGTACTCAGGTTCAAACAAAAGTCTCGAGAATAGACACCCCTAATGGTCAGATGATGGTCAGTACGCAAGTCATTACTTCGAGCTAAATATTTTCCCATGCGGCCACTACTCAGTCACTAAGTTCATATTATCCTAGGGGAAGTTGTATCTCTTTTGAGGAAGAACGTCGTCATGGGTAGAATCTTGTCTACAACTAGACCTATCTGTCACGTAACAGCCACCCCTTCAATAAACAGAAATCTCAGAAAAATAGCTTGATACGATGGGTAAACTCCGCGCATGGAAAGAATAAATCTTAAAGCCATAATTGTAAATGATTGACTCATTCCTAACAAATACTACAAAAAGCATACCTGGCATGGAGCAGGCACCCTCACTGTACCAGGCCAGTTGTAATAAAGATGAGTAAGCTTGTACGATAATCTGTAAAGTAACAAGTCATAAAAGACTTTGACCTTCTATAAACGCGGTACTTATATCGTAAACGGGAAATGTTGAAACTCATGTCAGTAACGTGTTACAAGTATGGGCTACGTAACCGATACATGCCGGACAAAAAAGTGTTCTCATTGGGCTCCATTGCGGCAGAAAAATAAAAAATAAAAAAAAAAAACGCGACAGAAAATTCTCTGCGATTTTATACGCCAAATGGCTGGAGAAAAAACCGCGAAAAGAATTCATAAGGATACGCTGACCATTCCCCACATTTAGGCCACTCCCACCCAGTGCACCAATGTTTCCAAAACAGATCACAATAAAACAAAACGAATCATAATACACCATGCTTACAATGGTGGGAAGAATATGGTCTACAATTACATGTAGACATTTTTGTCACGTAATAGCCCGCCTTTCAATGGGCAGAAATCTCTGAAAAATAGTTTGATGCGATGGCTAAACTCCGCGACCGGAAAGAATAAAAATCTGGGCCAAAAATGCTTTCCCAGTACCATTACTTGCACGATTACCTTTGTAACGATATTTCACGAAGAGGTTAATTGAATTGCTCGAATCACGTTATGGCCAATATGAGCTTGTTCTAAAGGATGCATGCAAACACCCAACACAGAGAGGATCCCGGTCCTGTTTACCTTTGCATGTAATCTGGTTTCAACTCTGACTTGTCGTGCACAATAATGTAGCGGGTTGGGGTGACTGTGCCTTGCCGTACATGCTGACTGATGAGGAAAAAATCGTACCTGCAAATACAACATAAAAAAATAATTTTAGCTACAAACTCGGCCGATGGTAAATTAGATAATGCAAAAGATTTGAGAGAAAGACAAAAAGGAACTACATTTTGTTGCCATAATCCAGATAGGCCGTTGTAATTTCCAAAAGAAACCACGTTTGTTTTCAAGAAAAGGGAAATTATATTCTCTACAAAACGTCTGGGTGGAGGTCTATTTCAGGCGGCTTTAAGAGAGTTCGTGGATTTTTTGTTAGATTCGTAGTCTAGTAACACGCATAATCTTTCTCACTGTTCAATTTGAGGATAATAGGGTTACTCCTTCCACATACCAGTCTTTCCTTGTGATCGTGTGGTCCAGTACGGTGCCGGGACCGGGGTTATCAAGTTTGGGCCTGGGTCCACCTCCCTGCAATGACAACATTGAAATTGCTCCACTTAACTCGCTTCTACTCCACACCTTTGACTGTCTGAACACTAAATACAAATGTCGTACTGAGAAAAAAAAAAAGAAAGCTTTCTCTAGAAGTACGTGATTTTTCACTTTCCACAATGCCAACTTATGGCGCAAAAGATATTGTGAACTGCATGATAAAGCATTTTTCTCTCTTGCAAGCCTAACACCAAACCACATAGTAAGCATTCAGTAAGATCGTTACTCCCCCTCTTCTCTTGGGTAGAGCGCTCTGCATAAGCTCATTAAGGACTCCTGACAACCACTGTTTCCTTTGCGGTACTTATACGCGTCCATTCACACGAATGACTACGTGTGAATCCCGCCATAGTTGGTGTCACTAACCTGAGCTGCAAAGATTCTTGCATTGATTCTCTTTGACACGATAACCACCGCCATCTTGGGGTGATAGTTAACACCAAAGTGAACAAAACACTCGGAGAGCTGTTGCACTTCATACCCAGCCACAGTCTTCAATTGCCCATCACCGACGCCATCACGGTAAACAACTATACGGTCGGGCAAAGTGTGATTTATCTACAAGAAAATACAGGGAATAACCTGACTGACAAACCAAGTACTATTTAGACCGCTCAGATAATTCATTCAGACCTTGAAAAACCCACTGATTTAAAGAGCGAGCAAGTTACTTACCTCGTGGTACTTTTTCAGAGAAGAAACCAAGCACATTTTAAGCCCATCAATGAGTTCCTGACCAGGTGACTGGAAACACACTCTGGAGTTCCACCGAGTTAGACTCTTATTCATGCTTGCTACAAATCCACAGACTGATCGGCCACCGCGAGAGGCATCATGATACACATCAATACCAATTACCATAAGGCTTTTCTGTTGACAAGATGGCCACCATAGTTACGTTGCGAGAAAAAGTTGTCTTATGGGGAAGTATTCACAAAAAAAATGTTATCAGATTTACAAACAGATTCCATGTTGTCGTGCGTCTGTTTAGTAAATGACCGCAGCTGACTATTTTTTTTTTACGATTTAATAGTAAAATGTTATCAACCTCTTTAACCCTTAAAGTCCCTATTCACCCTCAGAGGTTTAGATATATTTCGATTCTTTGGGTTATCAGGATTAACCTCGAAAAAAATTTTTTGCGATTGATTTAATATTTCCCGAGATATGCCGCCTCAAAGTTACTCTTTTGGCCACGCCCTTTTGACTCGGCCGGGAGAGAATTACTGGGTCGAGTGACGTCACTGCAAGAACGAATGTTAACTTCTTGTATAAGAACATGTGTCTATTGCTGTAAAATGATGTGAAAATGCCGACTCGTTGCGTGGTGGCTGATTGCTCAAATACACCAGATTCGTCTAAAGGCATGTTCAAATGAATGTAGGGACATCGATCGAAAGACGTTCTTGCTGTGACGTCACGAGGGCCTTTAGTTACCAGTATTAACTTAGCCCGGCCAAATCAGAAGGGTGTGGCCATAGGACGAACTTTGAGGCGGCATAATTATCTCGGGAAATATTTAATCAATCAAAAAAATTTTTTTCGGAGAGTAATCCTGATAACGCAAAGAATGTAAATATATATAAACCCCTGAGGGTGAATAGGGACTTTAAGGAGTGACGAGCATCTAATTTCTCCTTACAGCATCACCCCTGAATCACACATTAAGGTCAGGAGCGAAAAAGAACCTTTTGACTGTTAAAAACGAATTCTTGTCAGCAGCTTAAAAATTTATACAGTACAGAATGGAGAACATGCAAACTAATGTTAGGGATTGAAGGGTAAACAGTGACGTCTTCTATATGTCTGTACTCCAATCGACAATAAGAACTAACCAAAATGCGTGTAGGATTCTGCTTATCATATGAAGAACAATGCTGCAGGTTGTCAGTTAAAATACCAAAAGCAAAGCGTAAAGTAGATCGTTGTCATGAGACAACATGTATCACTTTCAAGGAACAAGTTACAAACAGTCTTTAATTTACTCCTAAAATATTTGTGTCACGCTGAGGTAATGAAAATTGTCAGTTGTACCGTTCTTCCTTTCTGCGACAAACAAACCATAATTATACTGACCAGTGGAATGTCTAGGGCCCATAGTTCTCCACCCAGTTTGCAGTTAATCTGCAGGGCGATCTTTTGCGTGACGCTCCGTAGTTTGTTCTGCTGTGAAATTGTCTTGGCATTGATAACCTGGAGGTTAGAAAGACAAGAAGAGCATTGACAAAAATAAGAAAACTACCAAGCATTTTGAAGTTGTCAAATTAAAAAAACGAAAGACTACCGTGCAATAATTAAACTAAGAAAAACCTCTTGTATCACTTCATGAGAATGCAATCAAATGAACAACAAATAATGTTTAAAAATCTAAACAAATTATTCCAAGATCAAAAATTTTCCAAGGAACGAAGAAAATAAATTTTACTAGAAAACATTAACTTGTACCCTGAGAGCTCTGCGAGCAAAATATACACAAAACCTTGGTGCAACAAGCTAAAGTGAAATATGCTTAAAAAAAACTACATGACCCTGGAAGATGCCCAACAACGTTACCTGAGATGGAACAGGACTTTCTACACAGCACAGCTTTTTCACTGCAGAGTAACGATCGTCTCTTGAAGTGGGAAAGATGACTACAACCACTTGAGTTTGTGGGTTGAGGTGTTCTCGGATCATACGTAGGTATGTCTCAGTTCTATCATCTCTCAGCTCAAGCATATTAGGTTGATGCACCTGTTAAAAAAAAATAATCACGGTATCACAGGCAAGTTAACATAACTGTTTGAAATTATAAACCATTTTCCTTTTGCTAATCTTATTATTAACAAAAATGCAGGGTTATTACACTTTTTCAGGGAACCCAATTCAAGGACTTTCAAGGACTTTTTCGGTCATTTTCAAGGACCTTGGCTCTCAAATTCAAGGACCTTCTGCATTAAATAGAAGCTAATAGAATTAAAAAACAATGCATGTAGGACCGGCCGAAAAGTCCAACGAACGTGACTTCAAGCTTGCACATCAGAGTGATCATGTGCTAAGTAACCAAGGTTATTTTCAAAGCACCAATCAGGTACAAAATATACAAATATCAAGTCAAACATCATAATCGCATGCGCGATTTGAAAGGAAAACTCATTTTCGCGATTTGTGCTACACTTTCAACACCGAAAACAAAAGAAAACTTCGACTTTGATTCATCCTGCACTTATCTTCAAGGACTTTTCAGAAATTTTCAAGGACCGAGTCTAAATTCAAGGGTTTTCATTCCTTAAAAACAAAAAATTAAATTCAATGAAAGGAGCGCAGGAACTCTGAAAATGGTATGCAAGGCTATATTGGAAAAATCAAGGCAGTAAGGACGAGCAGTGTACAAAACAGTAACCAAACATGAGTAGAAGAAACATTTTTATCAAAATAATAATTTGAAAGGGGCCGAGTGGCTCAGAAATAGTTCGTAGTACAAGTTTTGGGGAGGAAACCCAAACTCACAAACAGGAAAATCATACTCAGAAAAACTGGCTGACATGGTTGAAAAAATATCTTTTTCTCATACATTGCTATGGTTCATTTCCAGTTCCAATGTGTGTATTAAAATTGCACTATTTCATTCTGTTTTGACTTCCTCAAATTACAATTATTGTTAGGATAACATCAGATCTCTCACCTCAATACCCATGGCTGGTGTCACCTTGTTCATCATGCTGACAAACTCCACAGCTTTACTCTTGTCTCTGTTGACATACAGCACCAACCAGTTACGCAGAGGAACAGGTGTAATAACTTGCTCCTTGACAGCTTGCTGGCCCCAGTCAGCCTGAGGGCTGGAAATAAATGATGTGCTTCCAAGGATTATCTTCTCAAATGGAAGCAGACGACCTTCAGTCTAGGAGGGAAAATAAAATGTTGACTTTTGATCAGCTGTTTATAACTTAATTTACCGTAACTACTGTAACCTTGAAGCTGATTGTTTCCTCAATCAAATTGGAGTTGATGAAGGCATACATAACTGTTACAAGAGGTTTTGAAAAGCCCTCTTTTCAAGTGTCACCAATTTGTCAGATCTGAATGTATCAATTTCACATTTATTTCAGAGAAGGTAAACATCACCGATACTACCTTTTCAGTATTGCTACAAAAGCTAGTTTGCTCTTACAAACTTTAAGTTTAAGATTGACGAAGTCATGCTTGTCTTTACCATTAGGTTCACATTTGGCATCTGACAACAGCTTTAGGGGTTACTGATGTGAAAAAAAAGGTTTTGTACTCAAGTTCATTGATCTTCTGTGGGTAACAGGTTTTGGATGTAGCGAAATATTCCACAAACTGACTTACTTGAAGCATAGTCTGATCAAGCTGCACTCCCCAAGATGTGAGTTCTTGAAGGGCCTGAAAGAGGGAAATGTACAGAGTAAATGTACATCAGTTAACAAGACCAATTATATCATTAGTGAATAGATTTTGAGAATTTGATGCTAGATTAGTTTTTCTTTCCCAATAATTCAGATCTGCAATAAAACTCTGGAAAGTGTTAATGGAGAGGTTTAAAGATTAATGCAATTTTTCACTCTGGTTTTAATAATCTATGATTAATTTCCTAGGGTTTCTCAAACATAAAAAAACTCAAGATTTCATGGCAAACAACATCAAAGGTTTAGTATAACATGCAGAACTTTACCTCGGGACAAGAGTTGATGTTGTCAATGAACTTTAACATTGCTTGCTGCCTCTGCATGGGACCGACTCTAGTGTGTGCAGCAATGTCCTGCAAAGTGTAACAGTAGCTGTATTTACCACTTGTTTCTGAATTACAAAGTATACCCTTCCTTCCATTGAAGACTGACAACAGTTTACAATCAAGTGTTGTAAGTCAAATTCAATTTTCCTTTCTTCAAACCATGTTAAAAATAATCATACCAAACTGTGTTTCACTTTTCCCATTTGTACTGACCTTCATAACTCTGAAGTCTTGTCTCACAGCATCTGTAAGCCCAGTGATATTACAGAGTTCTGGTACCAGACAAACCAATCCTAGTTTCCTACCCTAAAATAACAACATCAACCTCTTGTATGAGTCTACTTTCTGGACAGTGATCAGTGGTTTGTAAAAAAGGGACTAAGTATTGCTATTAAAAGTCTAGTTGATTATGTAAAATCTAACCCAACTAATCAAGCATAATATTAAAAGGACAAGCAAAGAATCACTTCAAATGTAATAGGTACAGTTTGTATGGTTCTTTGCCTATCAAAAATAGGTGCATTATCAGTTAGATGTCCAATTATTAGGTGAAATACACAGATGGGGTTCTCAAAAACTCTTGAACTGAGGATTTTCAACTCACTTTCTGTTGTTCTTTGTCTTTTGGTCGGTGGATAAGTAGGGGCTGCTCCAGATCTTGCAGCTCTATGCCATATACTTTACTAGAAACCAGAAATTGAAGGCAACAAGCAAACAGTCTATTTTCAGTGATTTTCAAAATGATCCTAATCTACACTGATTGTGTTCAATAAATACCCCATAAATAGCTTTGTAGATTATGCTTGGCTAACAGAAAACATCCCCACTAGAAACAAAAGGCATCTGTAGATGCAGGAGCATAAGGCGCTAGAAAGCTGGAGGGGACAGCTGCCACTTACATGTAGGTGTAAGCATCAGCAGAGGAATATCAAAACCTTCCATTCCTCTTGTGCTCAAGTTTGAGCTGCAGCCTTCCATAGTGATGCACAATTGTTGTATGCTTTGCTTTAATCGTTAGTGGAGACTTGCTAAAGAGAATCCTAAATGAACACATCAGAGAACTGCTGCATACAACAAACATTAAAAGTGGAATCTATACTATTCAACCAGGAGTAAGGTTCAGTCACAATTTGATTTGCAGCAATATACAATCTCCTAAGAATGAATCAGTTTTAATTGAGGGTAGCTCATTTGAGTTTCAATGAGCCATTCTGTGGGAAATCCTCAACTTCAAAATAGACAAAAACATAAACTTTTAAAAATCTGCTACACAACTGTGCTGAAAAAATAGCAAACAGCAATATTTTCTTTGTCTATTATGTCAGCAAAACTGTCCCCTTTCCCTAGAGAATCCAAAGGAAAATCCAAGAGTGACAGTCATACCTGTAATAGTCCACATAAGACATCTGCTCTCCAGTATGGAATGTAAAGGTACTTGTTGGGTTTTGATCGAAAGCTATATCATCAATTCTATATGTCTTGTTGTTGTACCTAGGTTGTAATAAGTTTTTAATGAGGAACAAGAATCAATCAAGACTGTTGCCACATGTGTTTCACATACTAGCAGTGGTTTCAAAACAAGCCAGTGACCGCCGGAGTTCTGCCAGCTACTTGATTGTATGTCTCTGGCTACTCTGGTCATAACAGTCTGCTCGTGACAAACAATCTCAGCGTTATCACAGCCGCCTACTTTTCCAGAGTCGGCCACCTACTTCAAACCATTTTGAAACCCCTGTACTAGACACAGCTAAGTACTTAGTGAATTGATCACCTTGTCAATACAATATTTCCTACAAGCTGTTTCTTGCATTCTTCTTGAAAGCGGTCCTTGCGCTTTAAATACAATTGATGCCTAGAGAGTAAAGAGACAGCATAAAGATTACAAAGAAAGTGAATTGTTGTATTTTTTACACTTAGGTTGCAAAAAGAAATCTGTTTAGAGAACAAAAACGAGACATCTATGTAATTCAAACTTCATGTCTTAGAATATCCAAATGAACAATAACTCACATGAGATCGTAACAAGTTTCTGTTCTAAGAAGCCTGTGTGATACATCACATAACAGCATCATTCCACCTAAAAGAAGGGGGAAAAACCAATTAGAGAGCAAAAAAAGGGAAGTCTTCTATTTAGTTGTTGTATGAACATCATACCTTCATAACATTGAATAGAAGTGATGTAACCAGGCCAAAGTTCAATCTTATGCTGAGGAATACTGGCAGGTCTGTGGGGATCATAGTAGTATCGCCCAACTTGTGTGAGGTGAAGACGTGACATAACTCTGGAAGGAAAGTGAACTCTCAAGATCAGTTCTCTCTGTAATAAGATTTGACCCAGAATTTAATGACAGAGCCCTTTCATTTTTTGTCTTATCTTAATTACTTGTGAACATCTAAGTTGCCCTACAAGGTGAGCTCAGATAAAAAATTCGGTACTCATCACTTGTTAAATTAGATGATTTCTGTAAGATTTTATATTTACAAAATTCCAAAGTTATTTATGATAACTGATGAAAACTAATGTATAGGTCAAATAAACCTGCAGACACAAAAATGAAAACTACCTTCTAAATATAATGTTTAGCAACTGTAAACAGTCATCAGGTGGAACAACTCTTGTGAAGGTTACAGAAATGGTCACTTTTTCTCCATCTGTTCTTCTCTCAGACTCCAGTACAGTCTGTAATGAGAAAATCAACCAGCAAAATTAGGAATTACTTTTGACTCAAAACATCTGTTTTATACAACCATTACTTTCTTAACCAATAATGAGGTGTCACAAGTTACCTTAAAATAAATTAAAACAGAAATTTGAGGTTTTAAGAGATCTTCCTGTACACCACAGGGCAAAATTGTTTGACACACAATAAACAGCTGACAATCCAACTTTCTAAATGCAAACTATCCGTGATTAAAATTGATAACATTTGGAGCAACAAAGCTTGGTTTATATTCAATCAGTCAGTGAAGTGCTCAATGCTTAACAAAATATCATCACTAACTGGACTTTCCAACTGTTTTGGAAGGAATAAAGTAGCCCCATCAAAAGCACTGGCTGGTCCAAAAACTTCCTTATGGCTCTTCAGGAGACCATGTCTTGTTTTCTTGCTGTCAATTTCTGGGCTACATGTATGAATGACAAAGAAAATAAATGAGTTACTATTGTACAGAATCTATGTTATTACAATCTGTTGGTTTCCAAAAACGGTTTGCACTGTCATGTGCTAAAATTGAACTGCAGCCCACAAGTAATTTGCCTGCCACCTCTCTAATAACTATATCAACACAAAATCTGTATTACCTGTAACTGACATGGTATTGATATATCTTTTGTTCAATAAATCTGATAGGTATGAAGTTGGCACAAAGTGACATCCTAAAAGCAGGAAAAGATAGTGTTAGCAACATACAAATACTTAATATACATATAGAATGAAAGTTGAGAAACTAACAAACATGTATAGGGGCCATTCCACAGTATTTTGCATGTCACGGAGGGGACAATTCAGAAGAGAATATCATGGATAGCTCCTCAGCTTAATAAAGTTCAGTTCACTGAGGACTTCTAATGGATAGAACAGCTAATGATTGTTTTAAATCAAACTATTTCCAAACAACTTCTTCCACATTTGGGGGGGAATTAGTCATTTATTTAGATTGTCACGGAGGGGACCAGAGAAACTACGAAAACTAAAAGTTAAAATTTAATCTCAGATTTCTGTGAATGTATAATGCCAGCAACAATAATTTAGTACATAGTTTATTTAGATGTTAATCAACAATAAAACTGCCTTAAATGGAAAAGGCCTTCCTCCTCTCTTACATTGTACAGGAACAGTAAGTGCTCGTGGTTATTGTCACGGAGGGGACTGTCACGGAGGGGACCTTTTGTCCAATAGGCAGCAGTGATCAGTTTGAACCAATTTTCCAGCCTTAATATGAGTTTACAGCCCCAGTTTAATTCAATTCTTTTCAAGATATTCTTTAAAGCTTGACCACATCAAAAAGGTTGGCTGTCGTACGTGTCGTCAAGCCTTTAAAGACATTTAATTTATGGCTGGAAAGTATTCTGGAAAGTTGTGTCATGCTGTTTGTTCATATGATACAACACATTTCTTAAAAAAACCTTCATGTTTTTTGAAAAAAAT